CTGTAAAACAGATTTCAGAAAGTTCATCATATTTGACACTACCAAAAAACTTAGGTAGAGGCCCCATTTTTGAGTATTTGACGTTAAACATAGGCCATGTGGTTCTTTAAAATCTTGGTGATGAGGGTAGCTGTCATATCTTTGGTATAATGCTGGTCACTATTTTCACTGAAGGCATACAACTGAATGCTTTTAGGAGAATTTACGGAAGAAAAATACAGGAAAACAATGGCTATGAATATTAAGGCTGTCTTGTTGGGACGAAAGCTATAAATAATAAGCATGCGGTAGCATTAGGGAACAGCTGAAGTTTGAATTTATACAGTAAAAAGTCTGTGGGGATCTTTTTGCAATGGTGGCTTTCGTTGTTAGAGGTGTCATAATGAGGAGTGATATAGGATGATCGGATTGTACGTTTTCCAAATTCATAAATTTGTACTTGGCACAACAGCTTACTAGTAATTCCATGATAGAATTTTTACCTGGTTTAAGGTTGCAGCCGTTAAGGTCGTTTCTTTGAAATAAATGTGTTGTAAAGATGTATAAATATAATACTGCAGTAAATTTATAATAAACTACTTTTTTTGAGTGAGAATGGTAGTTATTGTGCGGCTTAAGAGAATAAGGTTTTGAGCGGATGCCTAATCTGGAATTTTATTTTAAAATTTCCACTAATTTTATAGGGAATCTATAGTAATAAAGGACGTTAAAACAGTTCTTGTTTATTCTATTTTTCTATTTTAAATTATTCTTTTCACTTCAACTCATTTTTCAAGGGCTGCGTCATGTTGAGACAGGTTTGCTGAGCTTTGTTTTCAGCAGCTTCGCCAGTCAATATTAGTTACTGAAGCAGTTTTCAGTTCTATCTAGCACTGTAAACCGAATATTTGTTTTTGACACATTTCTCGACGTCAAAAAAAAAACCCTGGTATTGGCATTGAAACTTTCAAAGTTTTGGACACGGAACACCATTGATAAGATAACTTTTGGATTGCCTTGTTAATGTGAAAAACCAGTTGTATGAATGAAAGTTCAATTTCCTATGCTGTAGGCAATGCCAGTATGCATTTCGTAGCGTAGTCTACCAGGCTGAAAGCCTATTATTACTTTACAAGTTGATTTCTGTCATAAGTCTATGTGGCAGCAGTGAAAACAGTGGGTTATTTATAATGA